TCATTAAATACAAACAGTATATATTCAATTTATAACATCCTGTAGAATTACGAAGATTTTCCTATATTTTTTATCATTTTATCTAAAAAAATGGCTTTATCATAGGAGTCGCCAAAATTCCTTTTAAGGGTTTTCATTTTGACCCAAAACGAAGCTTTTCACAAAGTTTCATCGAAATCGGAGGGGGGCCGTTTTCGGAAGTTTATCCTTTTAAATTCTTTATCAGTATATAAAGGCACAACATTTTCAACGTAATTTTGGCAACAAAGATGTGGCATTACATGTGGCTTAGCTATCATTAGTAGTAACTCGTTTTCCTCATCTGATGAATCACTGTCTGAGGATTCCACCAAAAATCTCGCGAACTCACATAGGAGCACACTATTTCGGGAATAAGGTCCACTTAACTCTCAATTTAAGTACAAGATTCTTTTTTATGAATAGGTGCTCCTATTGTCGTGTCACGCCATGATAGGTTAAGATAGGTTATATTTCTTTCGTATACGGGTGCGTTTCGACATTCACTGGCAGTACTGGCAGTACTGTGGTCGTTGTTCCGTTATTCCAGCCTGAAAGTAACAGCAGCAATATAAAAACGCTCCTGCAGTTCTACTCAATGACGTCATATCGTCAGTACTTACAGTGAATATCGAAACACACCCTATATGTCCGAGTGGCAGAGCCAGTTGGAGCCGACGCTGCCGTCCTGTGAATCATTACCCGTAAGCCAAAGACATAACAGCATTTCGCCGCGGTCAACATTTCAACTCCCGCGTATAAGTCTTCCGACATTCTCCGGCGAATTTAACTAGTGGGAAGCGTTCCGCGATCAATTCAAATCGTTAGTAATCGGCAACGCCGACTTGGCAAATGTGAATCGCTTGCAATATTTACACTACTGTGTAAAGGGTGACGCCAGTGACGTCATTCGGAATCTTGCGCTGACCGACGCGAATTTCAAGTCGCGTGGGACCTCCTCACCGTTCGCTACGATAATCAACGCCGGATAGTGCACGAGCACATTCATGCTTTTCATACGCTTCCCCAAGCTAATATCAACTCCGCGGCCGCCCTCACTGCGTTGCATGATAAAGCGAACGTCGCGGTTCAAGCGTTGCGAAATCTCGGGCGCTTGAACCGCGAGCAACTAAAACAATTCCTCGCTTCGCGAATACGTGCGTTCAAGAATATTCTACCAGCCTTGCCCTCGCCAAAGGGCAGTAAACAAAACTTGACGTCCGTTCAAAGTCATACGACGAATGCGAATTCAGCTAAGTATCCCCTGTGTCAAAAGACGCATTTTTTGTCCGCGTGGACTTTCGTCAAAAAGCCTGCTTTCAGCGGCGAGAGCTAGCTAAGAAATTCAATTGCTGCTTCAACTGTCTTAGCATCAAACATGTTCGGAATGCGTCCCAAAGTAAACATACCTGTCGACAATGTCAACAGAAGCATCACACGCTGCTTCACGATATGTCGAATAAGGACTCGACCGTCGAAGATTCACCTGTGTCTAACGAGTCGAAGGTTGACGAATCCACAACAATCAACTCTCACTTACTCTCCAAAACAAGTTTTTCTAAAACGAGCATATTGTTAGCTACTGCGTGGATCCGGGTGAATGGCTCGAACGATCGAACCGATGTCGTTCGCGCGTTGTTGGACCAAGGGTCAATAACAACTCTCATAACCGAGAGATTAGCTCAGCGATTGCGATTGTCGCGCGTATCCGTTTCTATAACGGGAATCGGGAACACCGCCGCCACGGCAAAATATGCTGCTCAAATCGAAGTATCCCCTCGTGACGGGGCAGAACCGTCATTGCCCGTAACGGCGCTGGTCTTAAAATCGCTCACCAATTACATACCACAACGAGCTGAAACCGTGACTCACTTGTCGTCAGCTTGATCTAGCAGACGGAGATCCGACCAACTCGGATCAAATTGATGTTATTATCGGCGCGGATCTGTACGGCGCTATCTTGTTGCCGGGCGTGTGCGCTCGCGGTCCCAATGAGCCCGTCGCTCAGAACTCCATCTTCGAGTGGGTTTTCTCGGGTCCCATGCCATCGCGATCGCGGTCAGGCAGCGCGTCAATACGAATTCACCACTGTACATTGCTCACGGAACTCAATAATCAGATAAAACGTTTCTGGGAAGTAGAAGAGTTTCCTCGACAAACATTCCTCTCCCCGGAAAAACACCAGTGTGAAGAACACTTCATGTCCACGCACACTCGAGCCCCGAATGGGCAGTACATAGTACCATTTCCATTTAAAACCGATCCACCCATCCATATAGGTGAATCAAATTCGATCGCTCGTTCCTTGTATTTGCGTCTCGAATCTCGCTTAAAATCACAACCGGAGATCGCGAAAGAGTATAACGAGTTCCTGCGAGAATACGAACGATTAGGCCACATGGTCAAAGCTCCCCCATCCGAAAGTTCCAATGCGCAGACAGTCTACATACCGCATCATGCGGTTATGCGCGAACACAGTGCTACAACGCACCTACGAGTCGTCTTTAACGCTTCTCAACCGACTTCAAACGGTTTATCCTTGAACGACCATCTCATGGTCGGCCCAAAATTGCAGACGGACTTGGCAGCAGTAATTTTGCAATGGCGACAATTCCGGTTCGTATTTACGGCCGATATCGCCAAAATGTATAGACAAATTCTAGTAAATTCACGCGATGTCAATTACCAAAGAATTTTGTGGCGTCCGCATCCCACCGCCCTGATTGAAGCATATATAATGCTCACCGTAACGTATGGGACAGCATGCGCCCCGTTTCTGGCCCTTTGCTCCTTGAAACAAGCTGCGAAGGACGAAGGCGTTAAATTTCCATTGGCCGTTTCGGTTATTCTTCGACGCATCTACGTAGACGATTGTGTCTTTGGTGCCGATGATGAACCTCTCGCGCTACAAACAAGAGATCAACTCATCGGCTTATTGGGTAACGCGGGATTTAAACTTCGGAAATGGGCGAGCAATCGCGCCTCACTCCTGGCCGGCATAGACCCGACGGATCACGGGCTCGCACAGTCAAAACCTCTTTGCGCGGACGATCATGTCAAAGTACTGGGGATTAAATGGAATCCCATCGCGGATGCAATTCAGTTTGAAGTCACGATTTCTTCCGTTCCTGAGACAAAACGCGCGATTTTGTCAACTATTGCCAAAATCTTCGACCCCTTGGGATGGCTAACTTCGATGGTCATAACCGCCAAAATCCTGATGCAACAACTATGGTTAATAAAATGCAATTGGGATGATGTCGTTCCAGACGACTTTTTAATCAGATGGCGAACGTATCTTTCGCAATTAGTCTTAATGCGGGAGATCTCGATCCCCCGATGGACCAAATACGGTTCTGACATGCTTACTGCCGAGATTCATGAATTCGCGGACGCGTGGACCTCCGCCTACAGAGCGGTCGTGTATTCGAGAATGACAAAAATTGACGGATCTATTAACGTCACGCTCCTAACTGCCAAATCAAAGGTGGCACCGCTCAAGCCAATGAGTGTCCCGCGATTAGAACTGTGTGCTGCCTTATTGCTGGCGCGACTAATTGCTTTCATGCGATCAGCTCTCGAATTACCAAAAATCGCGTGCTACTATTGGCTAGATGCTCAAGTCGCGTTAGCCTGGATTACGCAATCTCCCTCGCGATGGAAGGTCTTCGTGGCCAATCGAGTGCACGAAGCGCAACAACTCGTCCCGGATGCGACATGGCGTCATGTTTCCTCAGAACAAAATCCCGCGGACCTCGCGTTCAAGAGGCACTCTTCCCTCTAAAATGTTGGACTTGCCTCTCTGGTGGAATGGTCCGATCTGGCTTCAAATGGCTCAAGATCAATGGCCACAGCCACAATTTCTCAATGCTTCCGTTTCACCACCCGAAGAGCGAACCTGTGTGGTGAGTCATCTCCTTCCGTCTCTAAACGAATGGGAGCTGAGCACTCATTTCTCTTCGTGGACGAAGTTGCTCAGAGTTAGAGTTCCTATAATAAGAGTTAGAACAAACCGCCGCCATATACAGCCAAATTTACGTTGGTCACACTGATTTGTCACTTTTAGGTTGGCTATTATACTGTAATACATACATGATGATGTAAAATAAAATATGTGCATCGAAATCGAAATACGAATTTCAGAATTGTCTAGTTTAAAAAGAAGATACAGCAAACACATGCATAACACAAAATTTATTGCACTTTAGTATGCATATAAACACTTTTACTAGCATATACATTTTCTTGATTATTTTTAAGATCACAAACTACTGACATTTTTTTTAATCTAAAATTAATAAATTTTTTTATAATTTTTTCTTTTAAACTGTGACACAACGGAAAATTAGAAGATATATTAATACATTTTTCAATAAAGAATTCTTTAAGATTTAAAGATAACATGTGAATTTGTTTAAAATATAATCTAAAAACTTTTTCCATCTCAATAAAAAATTCGAAAGTAGAGTCATTAACAAAAAATAAAGATTCGTCATTAAAACATCGCATTTGTGTTAAGTGTGCATAAGGAGACATTGTAGGTGTCTTTGATCCTACAGAACCAATACCAATATCATGCAAAACATGATATATTATTTTTACCAATTATTTTATATATTACATACCCTGCAACATAATATAAACAATTTAGTGTCGTGTTATTAAAATGTAAGTTATCATTTTTGTCATTATTTTCAAGAGATACATCATAGTTTTTAGCACTTTAAATAGATTGCATTGTTTCACTCTGTTTAAACTCAGTTTTCTTTTCTTTCATTAAAATACTCAAAAATTCGGAAAAAAATTTCCTGTCATCTTCTTGATATGAGCTATGTGAAACATTTTTCATATATTGCGATACAGTAATCAATTTCAGATTATTTTTAAACTGAAGAGCATTTGGTATGACATTCTTAGAACGTATAACAGAAAACAAATTCTCTACGCAATCCTGCATAAAGCGCGATGTAAAAACGAATTCAAAATTTTCATAGTCCAGTAAATATTTTGATAAATTAATAATTGAATGTGTTGTTATTATTATTCCTGTTTGAAATGGTTTCCATGCTCCAGATTTACCAACTTTTATAGAAGCCATTAATTCATTAATTTCTTCCAAAAACGCTATAGTTTCAGAGAATTTGTTTTCAGATAATTTGCTTAAAGCTAATCTTATATTTCTCGAACTTATAATTTTGAATCATTTCGACATCATATTAATAAACCAAGCAGTTGTAATCAAGTTTGGATTACCAATCTCATGTGAAATAAATTCCAATCCTGAACTCACTGTATTATTTATAACGCTTGTAGCGCTGCTTACTTTCATCTTCAGGAAATGATTTTTTGAATCCAATAACTTTTTTTTTAATTTTGGAGCTAATGCTAAACCAAAATCTAAAGCATTCTCTTGTACTGAACATAATTCTCTTATATGACATGCTTCTACTTTATTTGTTGGTAGAGAATACTTATTAACAAAGTTATCCGGAAGAATAATATATTCATTTCGTAATAATCCTTAATTTAAGTTCTTAAACGCATGTGCTGCATCGTGAAAAAAGTACAATTTTCTGTTGTTGTTAGTTGAATGTATACAACTATTGACGACTGTAGAGTATGGTGAAGCCATAATTCCAAATGCTTTCCACATACTCATATTTGAGGAACCCATATCAGACGTAATACTATGTACGCGAAGACCAATCTCTTCAGTCTTATTGATTATATCACAAAGGATTATTTTTAATTTAGAACCATCAAAAGAATGTCCTGTAAAATAATATGCAATTATCTGTTTCCATCTACTGCCGATACCTGCGAGCATAATAACCAAAGCATGCGTTGCCAATTCTTTTGAATTAGAATCATTTGCATTTGTAAGATTTATATATCCTAAATAAGTATTATTAACTGGATCTAATGTTCTGCTACGCGTTATCGCCATTTCATCTAAGATTATAACACAATGTTTATCAAGTTCACTTGTAAATTGAAATATTTTAATTTGTAAAAACTTGAATACTTCATGTAATATTCCACTATCAAATTTCAAATTTTCAAGTCGTCTACATAGAGTCCTCAAACTTAGTAATGGCAAATCTGTTCGTAATTTATCATATCCTGTACTTCCACAAATAAATTTGTATTTATAAGCTTTTTGTAAAGTTTCTTCTGACCAACTAGGCAATTTCTTGTAAGAACCACATAAAAGTGACATTTGATCCTGATTTAAAAGCTTTTTAACAGCCTGCGGCAGTTTATTATGTAATGTATGGGCTTTTTGTTCCAATTTTTTAATTTTACGTTTTGCTTGTAATAATTTTTCTTTAGTTTTCAGTCTTAGTTTTTCTGATTTTTTATAACATTTTAACAATTCTGTAACTTGTACATTATTTTCATTACTATTTTGTTTCAAAAGAGAAGTTAAATTTTCTTGATCTGCGAGAAAGTCTTTTTCTTCTGAAACTATCATTTCATCATTAACATCTAGATCTATGTTTTCATGTATGTGTAATTCTATGTTTTCTTGTTCTAAATCCATAATTTTTATTAGCTCATTTTCTTCATATGTAATATTCTTCTTTTCTTCATCAACAACAGATTTATCTCTTTGTAATAAACCTCTTTGTACATTACTACTTGTTATAGTTTCTGAAAATGCATTACATAACATTTTATGTAAAATTATATAAAATCACGTAAAATTTTATATAACAATTATTTTTTAAATCGTTAGAAATTTTTTTATCATTAATTTATTATTACTCACTATTATTAAATAAAGTTGGTACAGCATTTCCTTTCAGTTTTTTTAATCCGTCTGTCCTACACTCCTATGCTTCTAATTCAAAATGAGTCTAAAACGAATTTTTAATACGAATAAGTAAATAATGACTGATACTAATAATTATTACTTGTTCGTATATATGTTATGTATGTACAGTTGTAAAATTATTAACATTACGTGTATACGTAATATAAGTTGTTTCTGTGTTTGTTGGGAATATTTATTAATCTACAAAGATTATTTTTTTTACTTCACATAGCGTTGAAAATTTATTTGGTGTCCAATTGTCTCGTTTCATATGAAGTACCCAAAGAGCACATCTTTCTACATCTTTTAAAGGGAAATGACACATTTTAAATCGTTTTGACGACAAGTTGGAACACCCTAGAGCTGCACACCCTGGCATTATAACTTTTATTATATGCCTATTATGTAACCTAATTTTGGTTAGATTGTTTATAATTCAGTTAAGATCGTAGGTTAGATGTCATGTTTAAAATTCGCGGTTGTTTGGCTGTTACATATGGCGGACCAATCAAAAATCGTTACCACATTGGCTTAACTCTTATTATAGGAACTCTACTCAGAGTGACCGCTTACGTCCTCCGGTTCGTCCAACAAATAAAAAAGCGCGAATTCACGAAATTCTTTCTTCTTCCGGAAGAAATTAATTCCGCCCGCGATTTTTGGCTAAAATTCATACAACAACGGCTGTTTCCGAAAGAGTATTCTTAACTACAAAATGCTCTTCCCGTGAAAGGAAGGAGCAAGTTGGCGTGGCTTAATCCCTTTCTTGACGAAAAGGGACTAATTCGAGTCGGAGGACGTCTCCGACACTCGACACTCGCGGAGAAAACCAAGCATCCCGTCGTACTTGCAGCACACCCGTTGGTTTCCCTGATAATACAATACACGCACCTCCGGGCGCTACACGCCGGGCCACAATTGACGTTGTCTCTCCTCCGCGAGGATTTTTGGATATTGCGCGCACGCCAAACGACGCGCGACCCTATATCGGTGCGTTAAATGTACTCGCGAAAAGGCCGCGATCGCCAACGAATTAATGGGAGAGCTTCTCGATTATCGAGTGCGTCCGGTCACTCGAGCATTCTTGCATTGCGACATCGATTACGGTACGCGTGACCGATTCAAATTCGGTCCAACCCTGGTCGAAGGCACAAGTCTCGGAAGGCGTATATAGCGGTATTCGTATGTATGACAGTCAAAGCTTGACACATCGAGTTGGTGAGCGATTGTTCGACTTCCGCCTTTGTCTCCGCATTTAATCGCTTTTGTGCTCGCCGCGGAATCCCCAGCAATATGTACTCCGACAACGCAACGAATTTTCAGGGCGCACAACGCGAATTAGCGGTCGCGTGGCGCGCTGCCACGAGCGATCCTAACGTAATCAACCAACTAGCCGCTCAGGGAGTCAAATGGCATTTCATTCCTCCGTCAGCCCCTCATTTTGGAGGGCTCTGGGAAGTTAGCGTGCGAAGCGTAAAATACCACCTGAAACGAGTAATCGGTGCTCATACTCTAACATTTGAAGAGATAAGTACATTATTGTGCAAAGTCGAAGCTTGTCTAAATTCTCGCCCAATAGCGCCGATGTCCGATAACTATAACGATTATTCCGCATTGACTCTCGGGCATTTTTTGATCGGGTCCACGATCACTAGTTTTCCTGAACCTTCATTGCTCAACGAAAAGGAAACGCGTCTCACCCGATGGCAACTCCTAAGTCAAATGCGTGACAGTTTTTGGAAAACGTGGTCACACGATTATCTGCATACGTTGCAACAACGTCCGAAATGGCGCGACATTCAGGATTTGGCGCGGGTGGGACGCCTGGTACTTTTGCGAAATCCCTTGGCACCTCCGTGCAATTGGGAGCTAGGACGCATCATTGAATGTCATCCCGGTGACGATGGGTTAACGCGGGTTGTCACGGTTAAAACTGCACGCTCCACATACAAGCGTGCACTCGCCAAAATATGCTTTTTGCCGGTGGATCTAACCACTGCCGATTGACTGTCCCCCTACATCAGCTGGATGACATGTGAAAGTCCTTATCAAGCTTGTATATATGTTGTATAAATTGCGTTCAATTACAAATTGTATTAGATTATAAGTTACTGCATTAGACTATAAGTTGCATTAGACTATAATTGTGAAATCGCGTTATGTCACTTTACTCGCATCATTCAAAAAACGTGCCCCTCACGGCGGGCGGCACGCATGGGTTTATCGGATAGTATATCCGAGGCGGGCGGTATGTGCCGTTATTTTGCGTGTCCCGAAGATCCACAAAAGGGATCGACGGCGCCATCCGAACAACACCGCGCTAACCATTCCTCATCAACACCGCGTATTTCCGAGTGAAAGCGGAGCTGATCACGCGTCGACCAGATGACTCCGCGGTCAATCTGTCACGTCTGACGGTACATTCACTGCTCTGACGGTACATTCACTGCTATATTCCAACCGCATAAGTTTTTCCATTTCCATCCTCATTGCACAGCACCTGAAAACAATATTATAAAATAACAATCACTCTAACTTAACTGTCACAACAATCATTCAGCTGATACGAGCACGCGTTCTTAAAGTAGCAGACACGAGCCTAGAGAACATGGCCGCCTTAAGGCCTCCTTTCAAGCTTAAGCCCCGTTTATCATGAATCACACTATAAACTTTTGGACAAGCACTTATCAGAATTCCCTAGAATCAATAAAGTTACTTAAAAATTGCTATTCAATGCTAATATAGGCTTTATGAGACCCTTTATGCAATATAAATTCAGTTTAACACACGAATAAATGCACGTTCCATAAGAATGAACTAAGAAAATTAGAATAGAATATAAATAAATTAATTAGAAGCAAATCACAGGAGCATAATCTTTTATGCCTAAAGAACATTATCATACTAAAATAATAATTATCTCATTAGCATTTTTTCAAACATGATTGTTATAAACAATTAAATTATACTATTAACAGACCTAGCTAATGTGACTACCGGAACTATCACAAAAGGTCAAACAACTTTTGGTTATAAATCATTATTGTATCTCTCAAAATAAACTAATTAACAATAAAATTTACCATACAATTATTATTGAAAATAATTAATAAATCACTGTAGATACTCAGCAGGCCATGTTAAGTAATCTCACAGAAACCCTCACATCATATCTCTTCTTAATTCCGAGATATAATTAAAAATTACGGAAATCCATAAGACACAAAAATTTTAAACAACCTAAAATAAAGCCTTTAATTATCTGAACACAACAAAAGAAACCCCATCTCTCTACCTCTTACCGTTTCTAAGTTATGAATTATTAAAGTTTCGCATCCGCCATTTTAAATTTCTTACCTTTTAAACTTACAAAGACCAAATCACTTTTACATTAATATTTTAGTCTTTTATACATTTTAAGATCAATAAATTTCATTTCTGAACGAAAATTTTGACACTTAATTATTATGATAAAAATGGAATCCGTCATGTTCCTAAACACCAGTAGCGTTAACGCCGATTTTCTATTTAAATTAATTAAACTAATAAACGAGATTGAAAATTTGACATTCGCTTCATGAAAGACGAAGATAGTTTAATACCAGTTCACAGAGAGTAAGACAAGGATAGCCATATAGACTATAAAACAATATAAACGTGTATAAGGAATAATCATTAGAACCGTTCGATAGAAAAACATTTACTACATAATCGTTTATTTTTGCAACTTACTTTTATAAACAATTATAATCAAATAATTAACCACGTTAATAATACCCGTTAACATGTGCCCCGGACCATGTATAACAACTTTTGTATAAGTCAAAACCTCGTCACTCCTCTGGCTAAAGCTACACAAAATTCAAAGGAAATACAGGGACGGATAACAGATATTCCGATCTGGAGGAAAACTACCCTTAAATTTGGTAACTGTGATCGAACTGCTTGCATAATTATAAAAACCCGTTTCGGTAAATACGAATTTTGACCGCGCACGTAAATTCTGCATCAGTACACCAACGAAAAATGATAATAACTTTTATTTTTGCAATTGTTTATTTATGAAATATTTATAACAATAAAATAAAGTGTGCTCATAAACAAGATGATATTAGAAATTCAAAACCTCTTGAATAAAGAGAACATAACAATATCAACATGCGAATTAAAAAGTACCGATTTATTTAATTAATAATTCGTTATTAACAAATACATATATTAACAATAAAATTTTCTAATGCTATATTATACTTTAGCAAAAGTCCTGCAATGTTTTCTATACACTCCAATCAAATTTCCAACCATTCGCGAGATATAAAAATAAAAGAAATTTTATTATATGAACAATTTAATTTCATTGTACTAATGAGAAAGCTAACTATTTCTACCTGCACGATACCTTATTAACATGATATTAGAATCATCATTACCACTGCTAACATCACTTTTATCAATATTACTATTAACAAAATATATATATACTTACTAAAATTAATATAAATATCGAGCGTCAAGCGCCGAAGCGTCACTCACGAACCTGAAAAGATAGAATTGTATATGCGTAGCATAAGAAACGCGAATCCGAGCGAGATGCGAACATCGTATGATCTGTAGGAGAGAGAGAAAAAGACTGACATACCGTAGTAACCGCTAGACAAAGAAAGCAATGCTTTCATACTTTAGACATGCTAATAATTATTTTAATTGTATTATTAAATTATTCTACCACATGTAAAGTATGTCTAAAGAAAGTTAAACAAGATTTAACATATTTCAAAGTCAAATTATTGAACATTTCTTATATTCTTCTACGACAAAGGTCATGTTGAGATTTTATGATAAAAGAAGGTATCGCTCTCGTTACAAATCGCTGTTAAAATAGAAATAGAAATAGAACGAGGTCACTAAGTGACTCATGCGAGTAAAATCTAGTCATACGTAAATTAAGCTGGCAAGCGAGCCGCACAAGTAGAAGTAGACTCATATCTACTAGACAACGCCCTATGACTCATTGTAACCAGGTGTGGTCACCTCTCACTATCGTTTCCAGAATTGTGTAAAAGCACCTCTCGCCCACTCGACGGAGAGTCTGGAACGAGCCAGGAAACCCTACATATCTTATACCTGTTCCATTCTCCATATAAGCTACTTGTATCTTGGAATTATACAATAAATATCATACTCTTTTTATATTAAAGAAAGATAAAAATTATTAAATACCTACCTTCAACGGACTTGAGGAGCCATAATCCACGTCGGCGAACACCAGCTAATTATTCTGGGGTCTCACCCCCTTAACCAGCAGAAGAAGAACCCATAAAATTGATTTCGACGGAGACGTTCTGCCGGATCGGGCCACCTCGCATCATCCAGGACGTCACAAATTCTCTGTAGGCAAATTCGGCGGCGATCCGTAAGGAGCACACGTATCGGGGAATTGCGGGCCGCTCCGGTGGTCGTCGTTGTAATGCTCCGAAAAGACAGAACGACTTCGACAGTGACTCGAGCCGGTCGACCTTTTGCTCTCCGCGTTACCAAACCGGAGTAATCGCGCCTCAGCCTTATCGTCCGACCGCGAGTCGAAAGCACGGCCATCGCGTTAGAGCGTCTCCAACCCGGAGCAAGTGCCGGGACGGCCCTTTCACGCGAACTTCGCGTACAAAAAGCGCGACGTTCTCAGCTATATGTGATAACGAACGAAATAAAGACAAGTTCTTGTGACGGCGATACCTGTGTCGACTCAATGAACGTCTGATCCCTGCACTCCGCATCCCTCTCAGGATAATCAGCATTTTACACAAACATATTTCTAAAAATATCTATAATAAATGCTGTTTTCAAACCTCGTTTTTGAAAAATTATTTTCTAATTTTTAACTCTATTTTCTGCTTCAATAGTAATATGGTCTTTAATTGACATAATTATATTGTTGTTTTAAAAATTCAATCTTTGTACGTCACGTAAAAATTCTCAGATTTTAATACATGTCAGATATTAATATATATATATTAGCTGATGAGAGCTGATGAGGGATAAGGTTGACATATGTGACATCTCTGAAACCCACTGGAAGGATCAAGGACACTTCCACACGGAACACCATAACATATACATGTCAGGAGGTGCGAACAGAGGACGGAATGGAGTCGCGTTCTTGGTTAGCAGAAGGATTGCACAGACGGTGCACTCATATGAGCCCATCAATGACAGAATAATCAAGATCACCCTTGCAGCTAGACCAAGAAACCTTCACCTGGTACAGGTGTATATGCCTCCTGAGAAATATACCCTCAAAGTAACCAGTAGTAATCATTGGGGACTTCAATGCCAAGGTGGGGAAGGTCGAGGAGGCTCACCTGAGAGGCACAGGGGGAGCATTTGGACTGGGTGTGAGGAACGAGAGAGAAGAACGCCTCATCCAGTTTGCGGTGGAGAACGACCTGGCCATCATGAATACCATGTTTCAACACCATCCTCGAAGACTGTCGACCTGGATCAGTCCCAATAAGGAATACCGAAATCAAATTGACTACATGATGATCAAAAAGAGATGGAGGACATCGATAAGAAATGTCAAGGCTAAGCCTGGAGCGGACTGTGACTCTGATCACAAACTACTATTAGGAGCCTTCAGCATAAAACTCCACTTCCTGAAGAGGGGGAAAAAACAGGAGATGACACGAATTGGAAACATGGAGGCCTTCCAACAAAATCTCATGAATAATGCTGACTGGGGGAGGAGCGATGATCCAAACAAATACTGGAAAAACATCAAAGAATGGATCAAAGGGGCAGTCAGGGAAAGCCGAGCAATAAAAATCCGGAAGAAGAAGCACTAGATGACCGATGCAACGTTGCAACTGGTGGAAGAGAGGCGACGTATCAGAGGCAGTTTGGGTAACGCAGGCAACGCAGACAACGCGGACCGATTGCGCCGGATCAGCCAACAGATCAAACAAGCATGTAATCAGGATAAAAACAACTTCCTAAAAAACATATGCTCTGATGATTGAACGACACGCCAACCGACACGAGTCCCATGAACTTTTCAAAACGGTCAAGTACCTGACCAAGGAATTCAAGCCTCAAACCCAAGTAATCAAGAATGAGCAGGGCGCGAAGATCACGGACCCAAAAGGCATTGCAGAAACATGGCGACAGTACTGCACCAACCTGTACAGGGACGAACATAGTCAAGTGGGCCCCCATGTGGGCCCTATGAGCAACTGGAACCTCCCATCTTGCGCTCAGAGATAGAAAAAGCAATTGGGCAGCTGAAAAGGGGGAAGTCACCCGGGGCAGATGGCATAGCCGCAGGAAAATGGCCTGACGACCTTCGTCCCGATCTACAAGAAGGGTTCCCCCACTGAATGCTCCAATTACAGGACAGTGGCTCTTATTCCCCACGCGAGCAAGATCCTTCTCCATGTTCTTCATAACAGACTAAAGTGCTTCCTGCTTCCGGAAATAGCCGAAGAGCAGTGTGGTTTCATTCCGGGGAAGGGCACGAGGGAGCAAATTCTGAATATTCGCCAAATAGTAGAAAAGGCCAGGGAATTCAACGTCAGGGTCTTTATATGCTTTGTCGACTACACCAAGGCGTTTGACTCGGTGAAATAGACACCCCTCTGAACCATTCTAATGGAAATGGGAGTACCGCGGCATCTGGTGGCACTTGTGCGGAGCCTCTATGAGAACAACACAGCGGCTGTTCGAGTCAACCGAACGACATCCAACGACTTCCAAACAAAGGCGGGCACAAGGCAGGACTGTATTCTCTCACCTATACTCTTCAACATCTACACAGAGTACATAATGCAGCAGGTGCTTGAGGATTGGAAAGGAGGAGTTTCCGTCGGGGGGAGGAGAATCAGCAACCTGAGGTATGCCGACGACACGACGATTCTGGCTACGACCGCGCAAGAGATGGAAGCTATCATGGAGAGACTCGCGTTGATCAGCAGGGAGTATGGCCTAGAAATTAACCGAGATAAGACGAAGATGATGATGATCATGATCATCGACAAACAGATGAATAACCAGCCCAATGTGAAGAAAGTGGCTGGATTTGAAGTCGTTGAAAAAATGGTCTATTTGGGCTCCATGATAACTAACAAAGGAGGATGTTCAGAAGAGATCAGGAGAAGGACGGCCATGGCCAGGGCAGCCACCATAAAATTGAGTAAAATATGGAAAGATAGAATCATCACAAAGAATACGAAACTGCAACTGGTGCACTCCCTCATCTTTCCCATCGCAACCTATGCAGCCGAGACATGGACCATCAAGCAGGCGGACAGGAGGAGGATAGAGGGGTTTGAGATGTGGGTGTTCCGGCGCATCCTCCGGATCCCTTGGACTGCACACCGGACCAATATATCGGTGCTAGAAGAACTGGGCATCAGAACAAGACTTCTCAAGCGAATTAATCAGGCTTACCTCCGCTACTTTGGACACATCGTTAGACGAAAAGACACAATGGAGAAGCTTAGGTGGAGGGAAAGGTTAATGGAACGAGACCAAGAGGAAGATTACCAAACAGATGGATAGACCAGCTACGGTCCCTGGTGGGGAGTTCGATTCACGGGGCGACTCACTTGGCGCTGGATCGGGGGGCTTGGAGCAACCAAGTTAAAAGTGCGATCACTGTGGCGTCACCATGAAGCGCCGCCACGCCCTGTCAAGGGCAAAAGGATTGAGGAGGAGGAAATACTAAATAACATGTAATGTAACATAATATATATATAATTGTTGTAACATATTTATAATGTTTAATTTATATAATTGTTACAAGATATCTTACATAATAGTAATATAATTGTTATACAAAATGATGGGTCCTTACCTTTGGTTCTTCTCCGGATCTAAAGCCGGTATTCATAGTCGGTTCTTATTTTAAGACCGGCTTAAGTAATGTCTTAAGATGCTAATACGGCTTTGTGATTGGTTAATGACATCTTCAAATTGTACTTAAGACGGTCTTAAATATATATAAGAACCGACTATGAATACCGGCCTAAGTGTAAGGACCAATCATAATGAGCGTTCACTCAACAGTTGTGTTTCCTGAACGCGGCCAATAGATCGCAGTAAGCGGTCGTGCTTCTGGATGCACCCTGTTGTCACGTGACCTGTTGGCGCCTGGCGTCTCTCTCGTGCCTCTCTCTCCTTGAGGCTCTCTACAAGGAGAGATGACAATCAATCGCCATCTTGATCACCAAATTCTTGTTTCGAGCCTCGAGGCCTCGAGCTTTTTTCTTGTTCTGCACTGTTCTTTTATCGGATCGTAAGTACACAATTATTGTGGAGTGCTGTGTGGATTTTGGATCTTCATTGAATTACAAGTTCAGAAAGCCGGGAAGTATATAAATATTATTTATTAATTGGAAACTATTTGATCACAATACTATTTAGAATTTAATAAGTTATGATAGGTTATAAGAGCTAATTTTTTGCAATTTTTATTTGTACAAAAATTAATATTTTCAATTACGTTGTAACTCATTTAATTTAATTGGCAAAATTTTGTATGTAGTCGTCCTTATCATTAACTAGTACATTTTATGTACTTTATTTCATGGAGCTTTCATAATAATTCAATTATTATTAAATTTTGAACGTTTTAGCTTTGCAAGCAATTTCTCAATTACTCAATGACACATATTATTGCCAGTTTATTTGCATTTCCATCCGCTATATCCACTTATTATCATTTATTGCATTTAATTAGTATTGAAAGAAGTATTTAATTTGAGACATTTTCATCAATATTTGTTTTTTATATATTTGTCTATTTATATATACATATTCTTATATTAATTCTTTCTGTCTATCTAAACTCTTTACTTTTTAAATACTAATATTTTGGGAATTTCTTGTAATACTTACAATTAGTCATGTTTATCATTTTTCTAATTATTAAAGCTTAATTGTTTACTCTAATTTTAATAATCGAGATTTCAATATGCCGAAAGCATATCACCATTTATCAAAAAGGCGTAAAAGCCAGTTATAGCGTTATGGCTACTTTTATTTCGCTCGCTATCGTTCGCTCGCTTCAGGACGGTAGGATACGCATTGGTGAGGTACCGCAAATGGTGAGAAGTGAAAGTCTGGTAGACACAGTATATATTCTTAGAATAACGTATGTACAGCTTATATACAGGTTTTATGTACAGTGATTGGACGTGGCCCTGAAAAGGACCATCGGTGTGGTGTATCTAAGTGGCCCTGAAAAGGGCCGATTGCACGGGTCTACCGCGGTGGTCGCTCAGCCCACGTAATGGAGGGCTGTGTCTTCGTCCGGTGGAGTGGCTGTTATCCCCACTGATTCAGGCGCTTCCAGGGCGGCGCACAGTGGGGCGAATCTATCAAAAACCGGATATTGGACGAAAAAATGAAAAACGTATAATTCAAATTTTGACGAGATTTTATGTTAATATATATTCTAAACTATAAATAAATGTAATTATAATTGATTTTATTTTTTGTTCTTTCCTTAAAATGATCTGATAAAGTATGACATTTTCGTGAATACTGAAATTCTAGTAATTTGATAGGTTACTTTCTAAAGTCTCCGCCGAAGGTATAACTGCGTATATGAGTTAAATGCCTATCAGAACTTATTTATTAGGGTTCAAAAAACATATTTATTTTAGTTTTATGTCATTTGAGTACTATTATATATTAATAAATATACACGACATATTTGACTATTAAAAATTTCTTACTTCAATATTCAAACAGGAAGAAAGTTTGTGGATTAGAATGGATTAAGGTTTGCTCTGCACCATTTGATAGGGCAAAGTGTCTAGTCAAAGTGTTTTTGGCCATATATGATCATTCATCCCCCTTCGTCCCCCTTTTTGAGATAATTGACCTCAAAGTTCACTCGACATAGTCGAACGTCGTCCATGAATAGCTCAAATTTGATCATGTCGAGTGAATATGGATGTTTATTTTCTCATAAAAGAAAGACGAAGGGAGATATATAATTTGTTTAAATATTGCTATTTTATAACGATTAATTACATCCATATTTTATAACAATTAACTACATTAATTAATATAATAGCAATATGATAAATATTTTTGGATAAATGTATTTGGAGTACTGCGCATTCTGTAAATCCATGGACCAATAAGATTGCTCTACGTTAAATTATTTGTTCTCCTCGAGGGGGGGAGGGGAGGAAAAAAGGAGGGAGGGGAAAGGAAGGGAGAGGAGGGGGAGAAAATAAAAACAGCGGAAATAAGAACTTTTCGTCAGTCTTTTTCGATCAATAGTCGATTAAAGACTTTTTGATTTTGAAAGTTTTGATTTTTGTCGTTGCTTTATACAATTCACTTTGCGTCCTTTTCAGGATACAGTGAAAAATATATAGAATATATAAAATATATAGAAGATTACACTTTAACACGCTCGCAAAATGGAAAATTTTCGAACAAATCGTCAACTTTTTAATTGTATGCGTCCAAATAATCTTAATTTATCAAATTATGAGGCTTTAATAAGCCACATAATATCATGTATTGATACTGAATTTTCTAAAATCGCGTTAAAACCATTGAAACGAAAAATCATAAATTTCACGAAGAATTTGAAGTCAAAATGGATAGCTAGCCGTTACGATTACAATTACATTACAATTACGATTACATTGCTGAATTCGCTGTTTCAAATGCTTATTACATATTTCGTATAAAATTAATATCAAATGTTGGTCAGCGAGAAATGAGAGTCATAAACGAGAAGTCGAGCAAAGAAAAAGAGAGATACAGACTGCCTTCAAAACAAAAGCAGGTCTCTTGATAAACTTCGTGAAACAAGAAAAAAGTG